ATCCAAATAATTTGAGCTTAAAATTAGACCTTTCTTTTTCACCCTAACTGATCTTTTCTGGGAACAATATGTTGGCCTTGGTCCCTTCTTGGACATGTGCACCTCAGCTTATGCCAAAAGCATAAGTTGAGGGTGGCTAATGTATAAACAACCTTCGTTATGGCCCTGACCCGCCTTTGGGTATTGTGTACCTTGACTCATGGCAAAGCCATGAGTTGAGGGTTGCTGTTTTGAGGAATGCTCTGGAAAGTGGGGTTGAAAGAACAAAGAGAGAGAAAGAACAAAAGTAAAGTGACTCAAGAACTCGTTGAAAAAAAAATATTCAAGAATTACAAACAAGAAAAGAAAAGAGTTACTTACACAAATGAAGAAAGAAGGGAAACAGCAAGGTGAAAGAATAGGAGAAACTGGGCGAGATAAAGTGATAGAAAGTGGAAGGTTTAGCCGATATGTCAAGGAGGGCAAAAAGTCACTAAAGTATACCTAAATATACCCTACCTGACTCTGAGCCTACGTTACAAGCTAAAAAAGTCCTATCGTGATCCTAAGGGTTGTATAGCGAACTCAAGGCAGTGAAAATAAGGGCAAGCTTATGGCAATAGGTATGAATGAGTGTGACTTTGTTCTGAGAGCGAGTGTTGAAATGTAATCCTTATACTCAAACTGAAATCATTGTGTGAAAATGAGGATTTTGTTCTAAAGTGAGGACAGTAGTTGCAATACCGGAATTGTTAGCACCTCGATGAGAAATTGAAGAGGATAGGTGTTAGTGCATGGTGAGTCTGTGTCATGTTCGAATCCCACAAAATTCAAGCCTAATAGTGATAGCATGCATAGATTTGATGAGATTAATCAGGATTGATAGCCAAATGATTGCAAAGGATAAAACATGAATACTATTGTACAAAGATTGTGTAGTGAGTCATAGTGCGTCGCTTGAGGACAAACAACGAATTTAAGTTGAGGGTGTTGATATACCATGGTTTCACGGTATAATTAATACTTTTTTCTTAAGTTTAGTGTGTCCGAAAGCCTTTGTTGTGCTAATTTTGATATAAGTTTCTCTTTGTTTTGCAGGAAATTTGTCCAAAGCTGAATGCAGAGATTTTGAGCGAAAAATGCAGAAGAGACCACCTACGGAGCTTATGACGGTCCGTCGTGCTTGTGACGGTCCGTAGGTGGTAGCATAGAGAAGCTGCTGAAGGAAGATGGGGAAGTCTGACCAAGTGTGGGATTACGAAGCTTGTGACGGTCCGTCCTGCAGGTTCGTCGTGAAGATCAGAGAAGTGATCCCAGTACCCAGATCCCAAGAGTTGAAGTATTTTGAAACGAGACCCTCGACGGACCGTTGTGCCTATGACGGTCCATCACACTTGCCGTCGAGGGGAATGAAGAAAGCAGCAGAAGAATTGCACCAAGTATGGGACGACGGAGTCCACGACGGTCCGTCATGGCCACGACGGTCCGTCGCGTGGTCTGTCGACCCAGCCGCGTTTTGGCAGATTTTAAGTAATTAGAATCCTTGTTTAATTAGGTTTTTATTTTTTATAAATAGTTCGAAAAACCTCGTTTTGAGGTTAGACTCGGTGAGATTAAACATCATATTATTAGACTTTGTGTTTTAGTGTTTGATTTTTGGAGATTCTTGCAAGTAATTTTTGGTTATTAATCAAGCAAATTTTCGACTTTATTCTTTCTCATTGAAGTAAGTACATGAATTCTCGTTTAACATATTTGAATATTGTGTTTATGGCTATGAGGAACTAAACTCCATAACTAGGGTTGTGGGAACCATAGGCAAATAATGAGATAAACCCTAGCTAAAATAACAATTCTAGAATAGTGTCTTGCATGTATTAATAATTCTTTCGCTTAGAAGTCTTTTTAACGGATGATCAACGTTAGAACTCGCCTTAATGCTACTTGCCGGACCAAGGAGGTAGATAATAGGAAAAGAATTATTAACATAGATTTAGTGTATACTATCTAATAGACTAGTATTGATTGGTACGAGGTAATAACATAGTCAAATATCGAATACGATACTTAATATGAGGTAAGGATAAGGGTTAGGAAAGCAACACACGTAGCCGGACCAAGGTGCGGAGTGAGATTTTCTAGATGCTGGACCAAGGATTTAGAAATACATAACTTATCACTTTGCATGCAAGATACTGGGAAAGAATTGTTATAGTTAGAATTATCAAGTTATGAACCTGTGGGGAACACGTAAACCCTAGTTACTTTGTATGCTTTTACTTTCTAAGGAAGTCATCAACCGAACAGTAGTAATAACAAGTTGAAGTTAAGTCTAGACTATTTTCCTCGTGGGAACGATCCCAACCTCACTAGTTGGGTTATTTACTTGACGCGACCGCTTTACTTCTCATTTGAGAAGTAAGTTTGAGCGTATCAATATACCATTAGAAATTGCACCAGAATTAATTCTTTTATTTAACTAACATTATGAATTAATTTATAAGACAAAAGAAATTGATTAAAAGAATTGATTAAATAATTTATCAATTTATTGTCGAAGCCTAGCGAGCGACGACGACGGCGCTAGGGGGCACCTTCTTCTTAACCCTTGAAGATGTATAGGAAGTGTTTCCTAATATGCAAATTCCTTTCTTTTACCAATATGAGAGAAATGACTTTTCATTTGCACTTTGCAAATGACTTTTCATTTTCCCTCCAAAATAGGTTCCCTCACTTTTCCATTTTCTCTTCTCTTTTCCCATTCACATTTTGCTAAACCCAATAGAAACAGCTAACATTGTTGTTGTTTTTTTTTTTGCTGAACAGGTTGCCTACAAAAGCCATGAAGGAAAAGACACCTTTTGATGAAAGGCACGGGTATAAGCCGTCATTACAAACTTAATAATCTTTGGTTGTTTTTGTTTCTCACATATTCCACAGATTAAAGGACAACTTAGATAAGAAAGTTGAACCTGTAGTCTTTATTGGTTATAGAACAATCTCCATAACTTACAAAATTTTCAGCCTCATACAGGAAAAATTACGATAAGCACAAATGTATTTTTAATAGAGAATGAGCAATGAGATTGGGAAGAAGTTAACTAGAAGCAGATCACAAGCAATCTACTAGATTCAGTTGAGAACGTTGATGATCAACATGTGAGAAGAACAAGGTCGCTCTCTGACATATATCAGAGAGGCAATGAAGCCATTTTAGAGCCTTTTGGATTTGAAGAAGTCGCTCAAATTTTAAATGGCAAGCTGCAATGGAGGAGCAGCTTGTAATGATTAATAGAGAGACCTAACAACTTGTGGGAAAACCACAACATAGGAAGATCAATGGTGTGAAGTGCATTTATCGCACGAAATTGAATGTTGATGGATCTGTCAACAAGCTCAAGTGAAGACTTGTTGTGAAAGGTTACTCACAAATATTTGGAGTAGATTATTCAGAAACATTTTCTCCAAGTGCTAGGCTTGAAACTATAAGGTTTTTACTAACTATTGCTACTCAAAAATATTGAAAAATCTTTCAGTTAGATGTCAAGTCAGTTTTTTCAAATGATTTTCTACAAGAGAAAATTTATGTGCTGCAACCTCAAGGTTTTTCTGTAAAGAGATATGACAACAAAATGTATTTATTGAAGAAAGCCTTTTATTGTTTAAAACAAGTTCAGAGGACTTGGTACGATGATCAGTTGCAAGGCTTAGGTTTTAATAAAAGCCTACGCAAAATCAACTCTATTTTTTTTTTTATTAAAAAAAACAGATTTTGATATTGTGGTTATATCACTTTATGTTGATGATCCTCTTTTAACATGCAATAACCTTGTAATGATAGATGAATTCAACTAGAGATGAAGAAAGTGTTTGATATTACATACTTGAGAGAAATGTCTTGCTTTCTTGGAGTGCAGATTTTTCAAACCCAAAATGAAGTGTTTATTAACACTCTAATGAATAAGAAAGAAAAAACTGAATAAAGATGATGGTAGTGACAAGGTTGACAAGGCAAGTTATAGAAGTATAGTTGGATTGCTCATACATCTCACTGCTGCGAGACACGACATTTTGCAAGCAGTAAGTGTCTTGTCTAGATTTCTGAATTGTGCAAGTGAAATGCACATGAAAGTAGTTAAAAGAGTGACAATGTATGTCAAGGTTAATTTGGACTATGGTGTTAGGTTTGGGAAAAGTCAGATTTTGAAGTTTCAAGGGTATTCTGACAGTGATTGGGTTGGATCAGATGATAGACATGAAAAGCACCTCAGGTTATTGTTTTAGCCGGTGAGTGGGATGGGACGTATGATGACATGAAAAATACTTCATGTAATTGTTATAGCTTTTGTTTGGAATGTCTTTTTTGGTGCGCAAAGAAGGAAGGTATTGTGGCCCTGGCAACTACATGAATTGAATTACAGTTGCAATAGCATTTGGCAATCAAGCTCTTTGGCTAAGAAAGATTGTGTTAGATCTTGAACTGGAGCAGCAAGAAAGGCCGGAAGTATTTGTGGATAATCAGGCAGCCATACCAATTACTCATAATCCAGTTTTCACGGAAAAACAAAACATTTTAATAGCAAATAGCAAATTGTACTGCAAGGAGGTGGAGAGGTGAAATTTGTTTATTGCAAGTTAGAAGATCAAATTATTTGATGTGTTCACTAAGCCACTTCATGTCAGCAGGTATGAATTCTTTCTCATGAAGCTAGTACTATGTAGGAGGAGTGTTGCAGTTGTGTTCTAGAACTAAATGACCTAAATTCAAGCTAGCAGAAGAATGCTGAGGAGAATAAATTGCTATTTTTTAGTTGTTTTCTGTTTCCTAGTTCTGTTAGCTATATTATTAAAGGATTAGTTCCTTAATTTCAGCAAACAGTAACTTAGTTATAGCAGATACTTTAGCATAAGATATGTGATGCACTTTATTGTGTCTCAAATTAATCACTTTTCCTTTCTCTTCTTCAATCAATTCTTGTTCTCCTACTGTTAAACACTAACAACTAGTTTCTTTTGTATAGTTCCTCAAAAAAAAAACCCAAAAGGCTTTTAGTTTGTACCAATTATACAACAAATTGCATTTTTGTTCCAATTTTTCAATACATTCTATTCACTGTCCAATCTAGATGAACTATGCACACCTTTCTAATCCAAAAAATGTTACTCCAGAATAAGTTGCGAAGGCTATAAAGTGAAAGAATATACGGTATCAAATAATGACAAAGAATTCAGTCATATAAAATAAATTCAAAGTCTCATCGAACCAATGATACAGATTCAATTTCATCTCTTGCTTTCTTGTATAGTTGAAGACTCTTCGCACATTGCTCTCTTTTGCCCATCAAAGTTGGGTCTTCATCTAATAGTTCTGCCAGGTCCTTACCCTGAAAATCTCCCAAAAAACTACCTTTGAAACATTAAAAGTAGGAAAATCAATGTTTTATGTAGTTCCTTCAGAAGAGTAATTATTTGAATTAAATTATGTGAAAAAATAAAAGCAGCTCAACTGAGATAAAATATATTTTACAGGAAACATAAATGCTGCAGCCACTAAACTTGAACAGACTGAGCTCTTAACGTTACCACTGTCCTTTCACTTACGAGAACCGATTCTATTCACAATATATTGGCTGTGATGATAATCAACCCTACACAGAAATATTTACAACGGAGCGGAGCCACCCACATACAAGGTGTGTCAAGGGACACCCCTTCCCCGGAAAATTACATTCTATATAAAGGTAAAATTTTGGTTATATGCACAAAGTATTGACACCTCATGGAAACAAGTTGAAGGTTTTAGTGAGGTGGTTAAGAGGTTGCAAAAATTTCTTCAGTTCACATGTTCTAGTCCTACTAGCCTCGTAATTATTATTTTTCACTACAATTGACATCCATGAATGAAATTCCTTTTTATACTACAATTGACACCCTTAATGAAAAAATCTTGTCTTCTTATGGTGCATAAGAAATTTATATTTGCAACACCTATATCTCAGATGTATTTTCTTGCCAAAAAGAAGAATCGAAATATCCAGCCTCTGAAATTGGCAAGTACTAAATTTTAGAGGAAAACATACTAAATGATATCACAATGCTAGTCAATCCTGTGTCTATCTAGCACATTAAGTGGAATCATATTATATCCTTTACTTCATCTTAACGAAGTTAAATCAAATTTCTGAGTATTATGCGTCAAAATTAAGCTGCACAAATGAAGAAGATTTTCATCCAAACATGCCTAAACCAGAATTGTTTGATCGTGTATTAAACCTATGCTGAACATAAATGTAAATCTGAAGCCAAGTAAGTACCTCTTTTTTTCCAATTTGAGTGTAGAAGTAATTCAGCAAAGATTGTTTGGCTTCCTTAACTTGGCAATAAACCACTGCTTTGGGAATACTGTTTCTCAGCGTATCAGTCACCATATTTATATAAGATGATACGTTCAAACCAATCCTCCTAAAGTGACCCTCGGCATACCGGTCTACAGCAGGTGTAGCTGCTGGATTTCCCCCTTTCTCCACTTCTTGAGGAAGTTTTCTGAAGAACTCCACTGTCAAGTAGTTAGCTTCCATGTCTACCAGTCTTAAAACTGTCTTTCTACCTTCTTCACGATACTTTTCCAAGGCTTCATATGAGGCTGCAGCGATTGCAGATTGCAGACTGGGAAACCTCTTCAACTCCTGCTCCATCAGCATGATTAAAAAAAAAAGGGAGACGGAGGGGAAGAATAGAGCTTAACCCTACGCAGGGTTAACATTACCTGACATTCTCCAACTGATTTCCTCACAAGTTCCTTTAAGACAAAGTGAACCTAATAAATGGATTTTTGCTTAGTTATACATCAAGTTAATTGTCATGGGAAGAACATGTATGTTAGTTGACTTCAATAAACTTCAAAATAAGTACATACAGCATCTACAGAGGCTTCAGCTGGTCCTCTAAAATAATTTAGTGCTCCCTCAATAAGCCGTCTATAACCTTGCTCAGGTGCAATCAAGTGAGGCTGATAACCATCTGCCTCGGAAACAATTTTTCTCACATTTTGTATCGGAAGATACCGATCAAATGGAAGCTTTCTTAAAGCAGCAGGAAGCTGATTGTCAAAAACTCCATAAATTCGATCACCTCCGGGACGGCTGAAGAAATAATAAGTGATGTATAATTCATGAAATTCCATATATTAATTAACTGAATTTCACGTGCATTCATAAAATAAAATATACAAGTTTTCATCTGTTCCTTTGAGGAGTATCTCCAAATTACCCCTCCCCCTGTACTTGTGGTGATCTAATTGAACTCTTTCCAATTATTTGATTTTCTTTGTCCATTTTGAACTTCAGGTTGCATTTGTTGATATTTCTATTCACTTCTAAGGTTCAAGTAACAATGTACCCACAATGAACCCTGATAGTCGTCAATAAGGACTTATAGTCATATATCCGGGCCGAATTTGCTGGTGATGGAGGCATAGTTGTTGTTGTAATTAGTAAATAGTATATCTAACTTCTTCACAGCAATTATGTCTAAGAAAGTCTCGTTCTGGAACTTGATGTAAGTTTATAGAATAAGTTCCCAACAACACAAAGGGGATTATTTTGTGAGCCAAATTAGGGTAGTATCTATTGCTTTTGGACCTCAGTGCCCTCTCTTTCAAGGAAGGAGTAAAATGAATGGATACTCAAATTTTCTTCCTCCTTTTTTTTTCTCTTCGATTCAGGAATATCAACATTCAGAAGAAAAGAAAAACAAACTTGTTAAAGAATATATGGCACCATCATTTTTCTACAAAAGCTAAGGCATTCTATACGTGTATACTGTGTGGGTTTACATTCATCTCCAACTGAACAACAACAAAAATATTCATTGGTCATTTTATTTAAAAGAGAACTAGGCATTCCAAGACCCAAAACTAAGTCAAGAGTATGTTATTGTAGTATGAATGCTCCAAGCAATCGCGGAAACAGCATAAGAGGATAGTAAGATGATCGAGGAAAAAGCATAAACCATGAATTAAAACAAACCATGTGTTTCGGATGTAGAATAACTGGACAGAAGACTTGTGCACAAATATTAATGAAGTTATGTATTTCTTCTCTCACATAGAGCTTGCCATTTCAACATCTATTTTGTGGCACTTAAATTTTTTCAATGTTTCAGGAGTTAAATATAAACTACAACATTTCTTTAAACCAAGAGCTTTAAGGTCCAAGTTATTATTGGAAATTAATGATCACTATTTACAGGTAAACAATACACTCCTAATGATATGGTAAACGACATAGACGATGAAGTTTTTACAGTTGCAGAATATTTTCGTCTGGTACCATCGACATCGAGAAGACACCCTTTCATTAATATTTCCCACGAAATGCTAACACAAGCTATGCAGACTTACAAGTTTTATGGATGTGAACATGATTTTACATGAATGGACCATAATATCCCATAGTAGCCAAGCTCAGACATAGCGAAGCTGCGTAGTTACACAAACCAAATTGAAAAACGAAAAAAGTAATCCCACCTACCCTCCATCCAGATGCTCCTTGAATATCTTGTCAAAAGCACGACAAAGTTCCAAGATAGTATACAATTGCGCCTGAGATAGAGTAGTGATGTTACTGGGTATATACTATCTCAATGAACAATAACACCGACAGCGGTACAAAATGAAGTTTACCCCAGCATCATCAGAAATAGGCCTCCCAAGATGGTCCATCTCAGATTCAAGTTCATCTATGCTTTTATTGATAACAGACATGATCCCTGGTATTTTAGCTCTAATTACAGACTCCAAATGCTGAAACAGGAAAAAACCTCAAGTGTTAACTCTATTTTAATTTATTTAGGACTCTTTCTTTTCTACAGACAACATTAAAAATAGACCTTTGAAAGAAGTTTTGCAAGATATTCTGAACCCATCTTGCTAGCCAGATGCCCATAGTCAGGACTGCTTGCAAAATATTCACGCTCCTTCCTTCTTGCATAGATCATATCCACATTCTTATTTATATCAGCTTGTGAACGATTCACAATTCCAACCCAAGGTTGTTGTAAACGGTAAGCCCTTCCTTCGAGAACCTTAGATTAGAAAAATAACCGAATTCAAATGCTTTCATAAGTGATGAGGCTTTCCCCACTAAATTAAAGAAGAAATGAGAGAACCAGTTTGGCAGGGAGGAAACAACAATAGTTCATAGTTCAATAGGCTAGATATACCAATTCACAGAACTATATATGATCATATTGTACGAATATAAACTCATTGTTGATAACCGTCACAAGACATCATTCATGACAAATGTTATTTATTATATCCCTTAAATAATAATGGGGTTTCGGAGTACAAGGATCGAAACATCTATTCTTGTTTGAATTTGAACATCAACCCTTCAGCTTTTCGGCATAACATTTACAAATTTAAAAACTATGCAGAAAGAAATATATATCATTTTTTACAGTTATGAATTTTTAAATAATGTATGACACTATCATAGTGAAAAAAACAATTGTTTAACCCTCAAATAGTAAAAGTTGTGTTAAATTGTGTGACAATTTCATCTAAGAGTTAAGACACATCTCCTCCTGTTTTCTTGAGCCAAATACATAAAAATTCTTTTTGATAAATGGATAATGGTAAGACTTGAACTTAAAACATTGTCTTTTACTTAATAATGACTTCAATAATACTAAAAAACTAGGAGATATGGATAGTTAACTTTGGTCTATAATTCCTTTTGATTCATTAACAAAAACAGCCCCCTGGCCCAATGTCTATTTTAGTTTAACCAAGAAAAAAACAAGGACTTTAGTCGACGATCATTGGAGAGGATAGAAGAACTCACATCTAAAGCATTTGTTCCTTTATCCATCAAATCAAGCTTAGTCAACACGCCAAATGTCCGTTCACCTGCATGAGAAGTAATTTAACTCCTTGTGGAAAATTATCAGAAAGATAAAGACAGAACAGTTCTCCCAAAATATTACAAACTCCAATTTGTTACATTCCAAGAATACATACCTGTGGAATCTACTTCCCTCGAAAGTTTTATAGCATCTGAAGTAGCAATATCCTGATTTGCGGGAGAAATTGCTAGAATGATGCAGTCGGGCTACATATCAAAGAAAATGTATCAGTTCAGATGGTTAAACAATTCTAGTTTAGCCATCAGATATAGAAGCATGAAAATAATTCCAGTATTAAGCCCAATGTGCATGATCTTTGAAGGATAAACTTGCCAAAAAGGTGAAAATAAAGTCTTGGACTATTTAAAATGCCCAATGTATAGATGATATAGTTTTTCCAAATTCACAACTAGTAGTTAGAGAAAGATAAATGCAGCAATCCAGCATTAAAGGTCTGCCAGGATATAATGTCAACTTATAGAAATATTGGACCAATTACTCTTTGGCACCATATAATTTGCCAAATTCCTATTGATTATGGATCCTAGAAAAAAACACTTTGATAAATTTGCAAGGAACTTATTCTATCTGAATGTGAGGGAAAGTTGATGTATGCTCCCCCCAAGAAAGCTCTCTGACACAGTATGCATAATTTATCTATCCAACACAGTGGATTAGTCTATTGTTAGATTAACTCTAATTGAGGCAAGGGCGTCTAGGTAGGACCGAGGAAATTATTTTTGTATATAAATAGTAGATGTTGCACCCTTTTTGGCTTCTTACGGTGTTGACTTTCATATTTTGAACAAAAGAACGTGAAGTCCCTAAATTGCCTGTGGCTCATACTTGTCAACAACAATTAGGTAAGTTGTTGCCATCCAATACACTCCTTATTAGTTGGGGGTTGTGGGGGTACACAAGGATAAAAAGAAAAAACAAGAAAGAGAAAGGGTGTCATTACCTTCTCAACATACGATCGAACCATGTCTTCAATGTCTCTGACAACACTCTCAGGCTGCTCCTCTGCAGCAACAAATTGGTACTACTGAAGACACTTCAGATCAATATGAATATGCATTATTACGAGAAAAAGGTATAATACATACCGACAGCCACTTTGGTCAAGCCAGGTAGATCGATAAGTGTTAAATTGACCACTGCCAGTGCATAATATCAATCATGAATATGTCAGTGTGAGAAAGGAAGTATACCAATGGAGGGGTGGAAGCGTAAAGAGAGAGTATTCAGAAAGATGAGAGATGTAAGGATGAAGGTGTGTTTTATTTATGAGGAAAACTCCTCTATTTATACACATAAATTACACCGTCATACTATTTACTTTACATAATTGGCCGACAAACTTTTTACATGATTGGCCGACAAACTATTTACTTTACGACTTTTGTACATTTGACTTTTTTCAGCCGACGCAAGACGACAAAAATAAAAAGACTCTTACTTTATACATATGGCTGATATTCAGCCAACAATAATTAACTTTTTTTTTTTTTTACGGGAAAATAATTCCGGGAAATAAGGAATCAGCCATTCCAAGTAAACACCTCCAGAAAAACTCAACTAAGCATAATTTGATTTTGGACGTTCCACAATTAGTTCCTTAAAAGATTAAAACAGTAATATAGAGCATACCATTAGGAGAGTATATGCTCAAGTGGATAGGAACAGGAGATATCTGCCTTGTTTTCCCTGTTATTCTGTCAGTTTCATCCTGAATCTCCTTCCGTACGAGTGCTGTAAAAGAAAATACTCTATGAAAAGAACATATTTTGCACCAGCATCAAGCAAATAACAGGCATTCAAACACAAAATAAGAGACAACGAAGAATCAGTTAAAGAAGTAACTACAGACTAAGAAGTTTGGTATTTTCTATTCCTATTTATTTTCAAAAAAAAAATGTACCTAACTATTCATTTGAAGTATAATTGAAAAATTAATTATTTTTTTTGGGAGGGGTAGTAATTAAAATAATTGGTTTCACATACAGAAATCTGTAAACGGTGTTCTCGGGAGGTGACCAAATTCTGCATATTCCTTCTGCCCTTCATCCGTCTTGTGAAGTTGCAATACTAAGGGTCTCCTTGTAACAATCCCTGCAAAACTACAAAAATATGAGTATACCATTCATTTGTCAATGGAAAATATACAGATTACATTAGAAAAATAACATTAATTAAGGTGTCTGACCTGATCCTCGTGGAAGAAAATCCCGGCCAACTATACTTTCCAACACAGATGACTTTCCTGAACTCTGAGTTCAACACAACACACACACACAAATAGTATTTTAAACCAAAAAATTTAAATCAAATTTTGTGTCAAAAGTTGAAAATTGAGGGCAGGCAGGCACCTGACCACCGACGACGGCAACAGAGGGAAGTTGATCCCAAAGAGAATAGAAGGAGTTATTAGTAGCGCCATAATCACCAAGAGAAGTACATGCCATCTGAATTCTATTAACCAAACCAATTAAGCTCTCCATCGTATATTTCTTCTGCCCGAAGCTCTAAAATTTAATACACAAGTTATTGAGAAAAATGGACGCAAAAAGTGAAACAGAGTCATTTATATTTTTTAACAAGAAAGACACAGAAAAGTCTTCAAGTCGGACGGGTATATTTGCTCTTGTTCAAAGTAGAGGAAGGTTCAATGATATGTCGCGCCACTTCAAATATTTCACAAACTATTTTAGCGGAACGGTTCCAAAAAAATGTAATAAGTCTCCATTTATGTGTAGATATCAATATTTAAATAAATTTATTTTTTTGGTAAAATTTTCATAAACTTTTTAATTATTTTGAATTGCTAATTGTTCTGATTTATAGTACGTTTTTGTTATAGTTTACAAAAATATAAATTTTATTTTTAAAAAAAGTTGAAGATTTCTTTAAAAAATTTTCAATCAAACATAAATTGTTTGATCTAAAAAATTAAAAGTATCCCACAAATTAAGACAAATAGAGTATTTCATATTATTTTTTTCGTTATTGAGTTGTCCTTGAATAATTTTAAAAAGATAAAAGCATCCTCTTTTTTGTCAACCCTAAGTAAAAGAAAATGCATATACGCATCACTTATTTAGTATGTATCAATTATTTTTTATTTTTGATATTTATTTTCATATTACTTATTTTATTTTTTAAAAATAAAAACAAAAAACAATTCTATTTTCTTTTTTTCAATTGTTCATGTATGTTGGACTGAGCAAAGATAGGTGAGGGTTCGGACAAGTCTAATAGCTAATCTGTAAATTTTATATATGTACTAAAAACTTAAGTAATAACTTGTAAATTACTAATAAAGTTTTCAATGATAAGGGGGGGGGGGGGGGGAGTATAGACCCCCTAACTCCTCTGCATGGTTTTGCTAGTAACCCTAGCTTTTTTGCTCTTCTTTGTCACCGATGGCAATCCTCTAGCATATATATTCACCGCTACTATAACACTATCTCAATCATTTGCTATCACCCAATCAAAATTTAATTTGAAAAATCAAAGACCCAATCAAATTAGTGGCTTGGCAAAACTGAAAGAGCAAAACATATTCATTTTTTAATGGTTAATTGTTGTGAACAAAATTAAACATAAGGCCTATGTGATGGAACATATGAAGGGGACTGGTTCATTAAGACCGTTGGCATTATTAATATGTTGGAGACTTTTATTTGGAATCCATGTCAAATTATTATCAAATAGTGAAATAGGTCTTAAAGCTAACACATGAGGGTTAAGAACATTGAAGAAAATATTTGTCCTCTCTTCTTTTCTAGAGTCTAAGTTTCTCATCTCATTCTTAACTCTATCTTTAGTCACTTGTTATTTTAATATTTACATTGTATTTCCGTAGTTCTATATTGCAATCATAATTCTAAAGTTGTAATCGAGTGTTTCAGTTCTCTTATTAATATGGTAAGGAATTCGAAATTAATACATTGTTGCTTTCATTATTCGTACTCCAAATGGTAATGGCGGTATTGGATCGTTTTAGAGATAGCAGCACCCCAGAGGGTTTGATTCTTTGGGCTGATCAGTATTTTCACCTGCCTTGGCTTCTCCTAAAAGGACTAGCTACCTCTTTCGTACTTTACCTTGATGATAAAGCTCTTACTTGGTTTACTTGGTTGAATCGTAACAAGCAATTCTTATACTCAAAGCATTTACAGAAAAATTGCTTATGCGATTTCTACAACTAACCTTCACGCCTTCAATGAGTATGGAATATATTTCATGATTCTATATTGACTATGTGCACTGTTCTACATTTGTTCCTTCAACAACCTCCGCCTTTGCGTTTGTATCTCTAAGACATGTCAAAAATTATCTGACTTGGAAGATTGTCTTCACAAGTGTAAACATGGAGGCAAACCATTTGCTCGAGAAATTTTCTAAGAAGTATACCAATGTTCGTTCCTTGACAATGCTTACCAAAAGTAATATTTAGATTAGGGCTCTCGAAGGTCTCGAAACATTTCAAATTGGTAATGCAACATCCATAGAAGGACATTTGGTATATGAGCCCTCTTCATTACCGAAGGGAAGGTGTTCGATGGATTTTTTTCTAAGAGATATTAAAAAGGCGTAGTACGACAACTTCTCCGGTGAGTGGCTCTGGTAAACAGAAAAATGAATTCGATCACATTTTAGTCTGACTCCAACCTCATCAAAAACACTCCATGAGCTTGCAGCTACGTAATCCTTTAGGAAAGAAACAATGTCTCTCTTTAGAGGTGCTCAAGTATTTTATTCTCCTCTGCAAATTGAAACGACCCAAATTTATTCTCTTCTTTGATGAGACTCTTAGCTCAAGCTTTTCACAAACCCCTGAACAACAATGTAATGAGTCAAAGTAGAATCTAACACGTGTTAGATGAGGTTTTATGATCCTTAAATAGTCAATTATGGTTCTTAGAGGAAGTATATAGAGTTTGGGGGTGAAACGTCCAAGAACATCCGGTGACGCTTGAAAGTTACACATGAGACGTGCTAGCGTGCCTTAGCATGTTTCACGAGGTTTTAGGAAGTGTTTGGAGCTAAATTTGATAAGGAGGGTTCCTAACACCTAGAAAGACGTATTTGGGGTGGAAACGCCCAGGCACGACTCCCTAAGGACCCACCTAAGGGTCCTTGAAGAGGGACCCAACTTAGGAGAAAAGTTGTCAAAACCAGTCTCCACCAACGGACCAAGATCCATTGACGCCCCATTGATGGGGGGAGTTTGATTGACACTTAAATTCTTGAGCTAAAAACCCAAATACTGCCTCTCTAACCAAGACTATGGACCTGCAGGATGGACCGTCGTCCAACCAATGGTCCGTCGATTCCCAACCGTTGATGGAGTCTGCGATTCGCACAGCTCACTGTAAAGTGGATGGGTGAATTGGGAAATTCACCCCACATCCAAATAATTATATAGGCGGTTATTTTAGGTAGTTTAGTCCTTATATGAATATTAAAACAACAAAATACCCCCTTAGATTCTAGACTCCGAATCAAAACCTCTCTCTCACATTAGAACTCTTAAGAACACCATTGAAGAAGAAAAGAAGTTTGGGGTAGCAGCTTAGGACGAATTCACCAAGGGCTCAAGATGGGATTAAGGCTCTAATTTAAGGTATGTAAAGCTTATTCATTCATTGATTCTTCCATCCATGAAGCCCCCTAGTTTCCCTTCAATTGTGAATCCAACGAACCCCAATCTAGTGAGGGTTGTGATTGCATTGTGGGTAAGGTGTGGTTGTGATCCTAATAGAGTAGGTAAAATTCACTTATGTTCATGTGATGATTATATACTATTTTCATGGTGAATTATAGTAATTTAAATTTAAGGAGATCATGGTGAATTTAAACCATTAGAGGCTAGATGAAGGTTTTGTGTTAATCTTGTTAACTCTATGGTATTCTATACTATTTGATCATGATTGAATCACCTAGATATGAATTGAACTAGGTATAATTTATTAAGAATGATATTGACCTAGGAAGTTGGAATTGAACCTATGTGATCATGCATGACTAGAATTAGCTTATAATGAACAAATTGAATAGATTAACATGTAATTGAGTATGAATCATGAGCGAATAAATGTAGTAGACGTTTGCAGGGCTTATGGACATTGTTGGTAGGGATTTGGGGGTGAAGTCATAATGAGGATGATTCCTAGAAATGTACAATGAGAGAAGAAAGGTAAGGCTTCAAGACCCTATAGTTTACCTATGAATGAAGATAGAATGAATTGATGAATAATGAACCTTAGGTTGGTTGTCTTGGATGTGGATTTAGGATGATTTAATGAAAGTGATAGATTCATTTGAGAATGGAGAGATTTTCAAGGACACCCCTCCATGATAGAAAAGTGTCGAGCAAGGCTTAACAAGAAAACCTTGGAGTATATGCTTGACTCCAAGTGGATATGCAAAGTGATGGATAGTCTAGCAAGGATCTGGACTCCAAGTAGGAAGGAAAGTCTCACCTAGTAGTTGTTATGACTATCCAAGTAGGTCTAATGAGGCGGGAGTCCTTCACATAGTTGAGTAAACGTATCCTAGTAGAGATCTCCATATCCTATGAACTTAGACATGCTAACACATTAGTGGCTTGGCAAAACTGAAGGAGAAAAACATATTCATTTTTTAATGGTTAATTGTTGTGAACAAAATTAAACATAAGGCCTAGTGATGGAACATGTGAATGGGACTGGTCCATTAAGACCATTGGCATGATCAATATGTTGGAGAGCATCCAAGAGGATGAATTCTCAAATCAAACCACAAGTGCGTACTGACATCAACAAGGATATAACACAACATGGAACTTTTTCTTAGCAGCGAACTGGGACATAGTCTGAAGAGGAGTGTAAACTCTTAGGATGCGAGCAGAGGAGAAACTTCCACCATAATCAAAATACACCCCTATGAGAAGGCATGCGGGTTTTTCTTTGGGTTTTTAAGTTTCAACTTTGCATCCTAAAATATTGATTTTCATCGGAAGCAACTTTCCAATCCAAGTGACAATACACTAAGAGTTTTTGGAAATAATGTTCGTGCAGGCTCTTACTTATGGATGCGAAGAGGTCCACAGTCATGGCTAAGAGGTTACAACTCTCCTTTTTATGCTCGTTTTAATTTGTCACTTGTCCAAAACCAAAGGTTATCTAGCATAATAGATTTCTTTTTCAACTGATTGAGTCAAACTACAGGCAACTTGATTCCTGTGGTATAAGGATATGTAGGCGGGCTTGATGTTGAAAACTCGATTATATTCTAATATTTGCTCTTAAATCTTATTTTTGAGCTTTTTGGTGTCTTCATAATTCGGTATCGAGATGGCTTTGAATTCTTTTATAATCGTGCGTCAAACCGAGCATATCGAACTATTAGTGTCCTGAATTATCATATAGCCTGAGAAATGTAGGAATCCCATTTTGAGGGTTCGACCACAACTCCTAAAGTCCGTACAAAATCCCTTTCTTAGAGATGAGTATGTGTTCGGTCAAAATTGGCTTGGTCAATTTCATTTTTCTCGAATTTCTTGCATCAATCCAAGTAAAATGAGGGACAGTTGTTGACATCCAATTTTGGACCTCCCCGATGAATTAATTAATGAGCTTTTCAATTCTAAGCAATTAGTTAGATTTTATGAAAATT